ACAGTCTTAGAAGAAGGCTTCCATTATGTAAGCAGGTAGCAGCAGCTACAGGCGTGAAAATTGAACTGATTAAAGCAATTGCAGGAGATCTGGGCAGGTGATCCACTAACTGCTAATTAGCAAAGTATCAGACATTCAGTGAGTGACATTTTTTTAAGCAGCTTGTTTTATTGAGCCCAGTTAATGAAACAGGCCTTACCTGTTGTTTTCCAAGGCCTCTAAAGGGTTGGGGTGGAGGTTGCCCTGGCCCAGGGTTACTTCCACATTTCCGGAATCATAGGCTGACCTCAATTCTTCTGGGAAGCCCTGTTTTAGCATGCCCTCCATTGGACATTCCACAGTGGGAGCTTGAGCATCTGCAGAGTCTGAGCATTATCCAAAGAGATTCACAGATACCTTGGCTTTTGCAGTCTGTATTTTCAGATATTTTCAAATATGAAGTAACATACAGTGAAAAAGCTATGTAATAGGCCATGGCATATCACTTCCCCATTGGCTTCTATAAGGGGCCACACCTAGGAAGAAATACAAGGAGTTATTTTGACCACAGAACATTTTGACCAGTGAAAGTAACCTGACGGTAGAATTCCTTTGGGTCCCTTCTTGTAGGGGATTTCTTTGAGGTGCTGTGGTTCTTAGAGCTTTGGCTAGGCTAGAGCCTGTTTTATTCCGTTCTAATTGTTAACAGACCACCATCATCTCTATCTTCTTTCTGTTTTTTGTTTCAGTTCACTTTTCTTTCACTGTCCTGTGTTTTTACCTCTCCTTCCTCTTCCAGAATGTATCAGCACATACTCCTGTCCTGCTTTCTAAAACAAAAGAAAAAAAACTAAACTAAAAGGATCCCAAGGTAAATATGGCATCCTGAAACATTCAAACTTTCACCCAATATAAGAGTCCTCTAAGTGGTGCAATTTTGCTATAAAACATCAGGGGAGATATTTTGAGTATAGAGAAAATAATCCTAGCAGTGTTCTTTTGTTCTTTTTCTGTCTAAACAAAGTCAATCCTATTAAAATCTAAGTGGATGCTAAGGAGAAATCCCCAGGATGCTACACAGCATTTTCCTTCTGTTTCCTTTTTTTTTTTTTTTTTTTTACAAATTGGATTGGTGCCATGAACACTGTGGAAAGACAATGAATTTAAAGCCAGCGCAGACGAGAACATAGCACCCTGAAATCTGCTTTTACTCTAAGGAATTCAAAACAATGAACTGACATAAAGATGTGAATTTTCTTCTAACCTAAAAGGCACTTTGACTTGTTCTATGACTCTGGCCAGTTAGAAACCAGCAGCTATTAGACTAGGACTAGTCTTGTGTTACTGATGTGAAGGTTCGTTAGCCTGCCACAACCACAAATGATATTTGTCATTGTCATAATTGGTACTGATGGTTCCTCTTAGTTGGTCTATAGCTATTAAAATGGATGTAGGGTTTACCATCACATTATCCTTATTTTATACTTGTAGAATTGGTCTAAGTTTTCTCTTTTTCTGATTAGTTTTAACATCTGGATTTCTCTTTTGATATGTTCATTACAGAGACCATTCTCTTTGTCTGTTCTCCCTTACATCTGGAATCTAGCCAAAGTGTGCCAAGCAAGATGATTCTAACATTTGAACCCTTTTGTAAGTACTCTGATTGCAACTTGGATAGCTTCAGTTTAATCCAAGGTAGACACTTTCTGCTACTTCTGAGAGGAAAAAAATGTCTAAAAATAAAACTTAGACATAAAAATAGGGCCAAATACTCATTAACTGCCTCACTTAGCTGAATACTGAAATTATTTCTACAGCACTAAATTAAGTCTTTGTATAGAAGAAGTTGAATTTTTTTTAGTTCATAGTACTTTATCTTAGAGATGATAAATGGGTTACTGTAATTTGTCATTTTATTCAAAATACATGAATTAAATAGTCTCAAGTATCCAATTTTCAGCTCATGCTCACGCTGACCCGTAAGTGGAGCTCTTTCATCCATGAGTCTTTAGGAATATGTTTTGTGGGTCTCTGTGGGAGAGGTTGAAGAAGCAAGCAGCCAGAGTATTGTATGTTAGGGCAAAGAATTTGGATCTTACTGAGCGTGATGGGAAACCACTGCAGGGGTTTAATTAGAGTAATGTCATAGAATGACTTGTATGCTTTAAAATGACTCTTGATTGTGAGGTTGATGGTAGATAGTAAGGAGGCAAGGGTTGAGAAAGCATAATCAGGTAAATGTCTATTTTTAGATACCCGTGTAGGCGATGACAATGACTCTGGAGTAGAATGCTAACAGTAGAGTTGGAAAGAAATGGACAAGTGGATTTGATATGGAGCCTGAGGGAATGGTAGAAACAAGGTTGTTTCTGGCTTAAACAATTGCAAGAATGTGGTACCAATTGTTTCCTGTCGGAGGAATACAGTACTTTTGCTGTTTTGTTTCCCACTGAACAATGAGACATAGACTGAGTCCGTGATCAAAGATTCATATCAAACTTTGGGATTTCTGTAGAGAAATACATGTCAAATTATAAATTGAATGAATGACCTTAATTCAACAGATCAGTTTGAGATTCCTTGGCATATAAATAACTAGTCTTGAGGCCATGGAATAAAAGAACTCACCTAGAGAGTAATGGAGAGAGTATAAATAAAGCAGCCCATATCCACATAAACAGAGCAAGTAGAAGAGAACCTGTAATGGACTTACCAGGAGTAACACTGAGTAAGGAACATGTAAGCAATAAGTAGGATAAATGTGGTATTCCAAAACCAAGAGCAGGATCTTACAAGAGGAAGTAAGCAATCAATTGTGTTGAACTCTGGGGTGAAGTTGAATACAACAATAAATGATGTCACTGTTCTGCAGTTACAGTGACAATGGCAGTTTTTGATGCCATATAGGGGTGATTGTAAAAGAAGGAATGAGAACAGCTATTTAGACCATTAGTTTAAGAATTAATGGGGCTAGAAAGAGGCAAATAGCTAATTGAGAATCAGAGGGGAATTTTGTTTTTTCACTCATGTACTGAAGATGGGCAATAATGGACCATTTATGTTTATGGAATTGATCTAGAAAAGAAGAGAGGATTTTACGATGAATATAGAGAGGATATATATATTTGCAGGGACAAATTTCCTAATGCAAAATGTGAGAAGTTCAGAATACAGTGAAGGATTTGGGTTTGAGTAAGAGGAGAAGGGAAAGAAGAAAGGGTAGACAGGTGTTAATAGGTTGGTTGAATTGCTGGTGAGAGAATGAGAGAGCATCTATAACCAATCAACACTAATTAATGAAGCAAGACTGGAAGGGAAATTGGAAAAGGAGATGCTGGAAATTTGATAGCAACCATTGGAGTCATTCTGCAGAGCCAGGAGGTAAACCCACAGTAAGAGTTTGAAGAAGTGTCCCAAAGTTATATTAAACAAGATAGCTTTCAGTTACTTTTGTTTAGAAAGATGTTGAGATAAAATTTAAGTTTTTATTTGGCCTATTAAGACAAAAATATTTTAAATATTTATATAATAGTAGAAATAAAATTCATAGATAATAATTGTGATACATATCTTTTCATATATGATACATATTCTTTCATACATTTTACATGCAAGTATATTTCTAAGAAGGAATATAAAGGTTTTATTTTTAACTAACATTGTTTTATAATAGCTTTCAAATATTTTTATGTATATTTTAATATTGTATATGTAATATAATTTTCCAATTATTATGTATATATGTATGTATACTAGGACATGTATAGTCAGGTAGAAAAGCCCCTTTTCATTGTATATTCAATTATTTTCTTCTAATATTTAAAATATGAAAAGAAACTATAAATTATTAATCTATCAAGTTTTATATTGATAATGGTCTCTGACAAGTTTTTAATATAGTTCTAATTATTCTAAAATTTCATTTCTCACAATAAATTTAAAATATATTTTTTCAATCTTCCACACAGATTTCTTAAAATCTTTTAGTAATTTTTTAAAACAAATTTTAAACTATTCATTCAACAAGCTCTAAAAGAGAAAAATGAACTACTATCCTACCATCTAGGAAAATCAGTTGTATTTTAACTGAAACTATGCTCTATTTACATGGTTGGTCATCTCTATTTGGTCTCTTTTTTGGTTTGTTATATAGCTTTTGGCAGCCAGAAAGCAGTGACTCATACCTGTAATCCTAGCTACCTAGAAAATTTAAGATCTAGAGGATTGAGATTCCAGTTCTGCCTTGGCAGGAAAATACTGGAAACTCTTATCTCCAAATAGCCAGAAAAGATCACTTCTGAGGACATGGCTCAAGTGGTAGAGTGATTTCTAGCAGGCATAGGGCTAAACTGAAACCACAATACGTCCAAATACAGAAAGAAAACAAAAAAGCTCTTCAGTTAATACATTTGTACATAGTTGCATACAATCCAACATATTTACTTTGTTTTTAAGTTTATAATCTAAACCTAGATTATAATTCATTACATTCATTTTTTTGTCTCTCTGGGCCTGATTTACTTCACTTAATTTAAGTTTTTCCAGGTCTCTCCATCCCTTTACAAATGGTACAGTATTGTTCTTTCTAATGGATGAGTCAAATTCCATTCCACATTTTCTTGATTCATTCATCCATTGGGGACTATCTGGGCCATTCCACCATACCTTGGTTATGGTGAATAATACTGCAATGAACAAAGTTATTCTGGTGGCTTTACTGTATCCTGGTTTCAACCTCCATACTACTGCTTAGAGTGGTTAAACAGGTTTACATTCCTACCAACCACTGTAATAGAATTCCTTTTTGGTTACATCTTTGCCTGTAACTGTCTAAGTTCAACAAAATAAATGCCAGGAAGTGGGTACTTTAAAGGGGTGGGGTGGGGCCAAGAGGTAGGGGTAGATAAATGCAAAGAAGAGTCAATAATTAAATAAATATCCTTCAAAATAAAGAGAAGTGAGGGAAGGAATGGGTAGGGGAGAGGTGAGTGAGAATATTGAGGGAAGTGACATTGATTAAGATGCATTTGATTCGTAGACTGCTTTGGTAAATGGTGACTCCTTTGTACAACTTAAAGATTTTTTTTAAAAAAAAGAACAACAAAAAACCCCAGCTCTTGCAAACCATGTTTTTCATGGCTTCCTTATAGCGTTCACTACTGCTGGATATTTATGATTATATTCCCAGGTTTCAGCTGATTTTCCTGTGTGATTATAAATAATACCAGCATTCAAATCATTGATAATAGTGAATTGAAATTGTTTTAGTGTATTTTTTTGTAAAAGTAATATGTGTCCTTTGTAGAAAGCTTTATAAAGAACAGAAATGATCATCCTATAAACCACTATGGAGTCAGTGTCAAATCTTCATTCAATAGCCATTTTTTAGCATCTATCATATAGCAGGTATTGCTCTAGATGAGAAACTGCTCTTCAGAATGAACCGTCTAGTGTACATATAGAGATAGATACTGCTAGTGTCCTGTGTGCAAAAACTATGTATGTGTTTTTAAAGGACCCATGATATATAAAGGTTGTATTACAATCTGATTTCTGTCCTTTAACATACTAAGAACATCTATCATTGAACTTTTATGATATTATATTTAATGGCTACTGAAGAATTAGTTGTTTGACTCTGCAATTGTTTGAACTCTGGGAGTCAGATAATGTAATTCACTTAAATTCCATTTTTTGCATTTTAAATCCATAGCGTGCATTCCTTTCTTCTGACAACTCATATGACCACCACCAGACATGAAGGCGCAGTCGGTGCTATTTTCTTTGCCTCATTATAATACGGTCTCTCAATGGATTTCAAGGCAATTCCTTTTGTAATACAAAATTGGATAATTGGATAGAAATAGGACTATTGTGCATCTCTAATCTGAAATCCAAAATGCTCCAAAATCCAAACTACTTTGAGTTTTGATGTGATGCCACAAATGGAAAATTGTACAGCTGACTTCATATGACAGATAGAATAAAAATATGGGCCCATTGAAAATACTTGGGTCCGATCTCCAAATTATTTTATAATTTTAATGCAGATATTCTAAATCTAAAAAAAATTCACATTTCTGTTCTGACACATTTTTTAGATAAGGAAAATTCAATATGTATTTCCTCCACAACCTTAGTATTATTGTAAATTTTCCTAAATTTTTAATTTATTAGAAACAGTCTGAAAGTCTGGGTAAAAATTGAAAATCATGTTTTCTTCCTACCACTCTCATTAATAAGTTATTTCTTACTAGAAATAACATCATTAGAAAGATTGATTGGTTGTTTTAAGTGGAAACTAGCACATGAAGGAGGCATTATTAACTTTGTTATTCTATGATAGAGCAGTTAGGGAGATAACAATTACTCCTTTTTCTGCTCACATTTCCATGATTTTCTCTTAGTGTAATTCCATATTCCTCTAGCTCTCAGATAAAAACTAAATCTCTGAGAAGTAGAACATGGCAAAGGTCCACAGGAACTTACTCCACTGTCCAAGGCCCTTTCTCATTTTAATATCTTGGAATCCACAGAAAAAAACATAAGATACACTTAAAATTATTTTGTAAATGAGCCAAAGAATCTGTGTACTATTTTTAGTGCCATGAAGTGGCTAGATTTTGTGGAGAAGGGTGTTTTTGTTTTTTTTTTTTTTTTACAAAAACCTTAACTGTGTTGAATTCATTTTCTTTTTGAAATCAACTTTTGAAACTAACAATAGCATGAAGGAAATTAATAGGATTTGAATTACATATTTTAATCCAAAATAACATGGCATAAATCTGCTTTGACTGATTCATAGAATACTTTAAAAGTAGTTCTAAAATCAAAGTAAACAAGTCATTTCATTTTTTCATTTGGACTGTCCTTCATGTCTTCTCCTGCTTCAGACTAGCATATATTCCTGACAGATTATTACACCCAGAATTTCTTGCTACATGGCCCAATCATGCTGCTATATTAATTTTTTGTTTTCTATCTCTAGCTAGCTAAATTAGTTATTATTATTATTATTGTGAGTTTTAAAAGTAAATGTGTTCTAGCAATGGGAATCAACAAGACCTCTATGGGACAAAATTGAAAGGCAGACTTGATCCAGGGAATAGGAAAGTAGTGCATCATCTATGCTTTTTAGAGGTGGGGGATGCTGGGCCCAAGGGCCATATTAGACCCTCAGAATCATTTGGTACATGACAGATATGCATGCTTCTCTTCAGCTGCCATGGCCTGTGCTCCTCTATAGTGAATTTTGTATAGACCTCCAATTATGTGATAAATATCCAAACAGCTCTTGGCAGAAAAAGAATCCCTACCCCTATTTTGGACTGTTGCCAATTCTCATAGATACTCAGTTAACATGGAATAAACTCAAGCAGAGTTTCATGGCTTGATTCTAATTAGACAGTGTAAGATTATTTATGATATAATCTTTAAAATCAGTCAGGCAGCTGAGATAGGCAGGCTCTTCCAGGTAGTCCCTAAATAATCCTTGACAATCACCCAACACTAATCCTCTTTGTAACATCTCTGTTCTGTTTTTAGAAACAGTTTTTTTCATTTCTAATGACCATATTAATATGGATGGGCAAATTGTCATTGAAAGGCTGAATGAGGATCTAATTCTCCCTTGCTCATTAAAAGTGGACCTGACATTGTGACTCACTGGAACATTAACAAAACAACAACAACAATGTCTACAGGTACTACAACTAGAGAGACCAGCTGAAATACCAGTATTTCAAATACAGAGTCAGGATGTCCCTTATTCACAGTGGGCTTCACAATGAGAATGCCTCTCTACTTGTATTAAATCTTCTGGATGAAGGGAGCTGGAAACAACACACACACACACACACACACACACACACACACTAAAGGTGGGAAGTGTGCAAGTAAGTTTTAGTAGACTTCGTGGTATCATTTGATGTTATTTCTGAAATTTCTTCTTCCTAATATTTCAGCATCTCCCTTCAAAGCAATTTCAAAAATTTGCCTCATTATTTTTTAAAGCACAGTATCTCATAGTATGGACATATAATGTATCTGTTACTACCATTCCACTGATTGCAAATATTCAGACATTCCCAGTGCTTTTTATTATGTTGTGGTGAATACTTTTGTACTTGCATTTGATGCTGGGAAATTTGCTTAAATAAATGATCAGAGTTAATATTCTATGGTAATGATAGAAATATGAGTGGCCCTTTTCATTTCAGTCCTATCAGCACTAAATATTCTAAATTTTCTACCAATATGACTAAAAGTTTCAACATTTTTATTTATTTTTTCTGTAATAAACATAAATTTACTTCTTATAATGTTTTTATGTTTTCTGTAATAACCATATGCTACTAAACTATAACTAGTTAATATAGTGACTCTTGTCAATTCTCATCAATCAGTTTAAGCCATTCAGGATTAGAGATGGCATATTTCTAATTCACCAGACCCCCATGAACTCCTTTTTTTTCGGGGGGGGTCCGGTTGTGGGGTCTAAACTCTGGGCCTGGGCGCTGTCCCTCAGCTCTTCAGCTCAAGGATAGCGCTCTACCACTTGAGCCACAGCGCCACTTCCGGCTTTTTTCTTTTTGCTTATGTGGTGCTGAGGAATCGAACCCAGGGCCTCATGCATGCAAGGCAAGCGCTCTACCCCTGAGCCACCTTCCCAGCCCCAAACTCTTTGTTTTTAATTAACTTTTATTGTGAAAATACTGTACAGAGGGGTTACAGTTACATGAGCAAGGTAATTAGTACATTTCTTATCCAGCATTGTTGCCTCATCTTTGTTTTTCCCCTACTACCCCTTTCCCCCCTGCCTAAATTGTAAAGTTCATTCTTTGATATAGAGTCTTATACATCTCATTGTTGCAATGGGACAATCTGTATCCTTATTTAAATAATTTGTTTTTTTCATGAACTCTTGATAATACAGTCAGTTAATGATCACGTTGCAGATCATTACTTTAGTATAATTATAGGTATATAGCACATATTGCACTTCACTGTATTACAATTTGCCAATATTGTGTTGTTTTTACAGATTGAAGGTTTGTGGAAACACTGTATTAAGACTATTAATCATTTTTAACAGGATGTGTTCACTTTGTGTTTCTGTAGCACATTTTTGGTAATTCTAATAGAATTTCAAACTTTTTCCTTATTATCTATTTTATGGTGATCTATGATCAGTAATTTTCAATGTTACTATTGCAATTGCTTTGAGGATGCTAGAAACTGTCCATATAAGTAAATAAACCTAATAAGTAAATGCATGTTCTGACTGCCCTAACCACAGGCCATTCCCATGTCTTTCCCTCCCTATTATCTATGACAGCAATCTTTTTTTTTTTTTTTGGTCAAGGTGATGTATAGAGGGGTTACAGTTACATAAGTAAGGTAATGAGTACATTTCATGTCAAACTTGTTACCCCTTCCCTCAATTTTCTCCTACTTTCCCTCCCCTCCCACCTAGGGCAGCAATCATAAAAGTAGGCAAATTAATTATTCCACCTTGGACACCAGTCAAGTGAAAGGAAAAGTGCATGGTTCTCACTTTAAATCTTTAATTAGAAATAATTAGCAAGAACGAATGTCAAAAGTAAGATAAGCCACAGGCTTGACTTCTTGTGCCACACAGCCAGGTTGTGAATGCAAAGAAAAAATTGTCCAGGGAAATTAAAAATCCATTACACTGAATATATAAACAATAGGAAAGAAAACTACCTTATTGATGATATGGAGAAAGCTTTAGAGGTTGATGGTAGGTCAAATGAGCTACAACCTTCCCTTAAGCAAAGCCCAGACCAGAATAAGGTAAGGTGCTAATTTCTGTGAAGGCTGAAAAAAGCAAGGAAGCTTCAGAGGATGTTTGAAGCCAAAGAAGTTGTTTCATGAAGTACAGGTCTGAAGTAGTCTTCATAATGTAAGTGTTAAGATGAAGCAGCAAATGATGGTGTAGATGCTGCAAGTTACCCACATGATCCAGCTAATTGATAAAGATGGCTATATTAACCAACAGGTTTTCAGCTTAGATAAAATAGATTCCTATTGGAAGAAGATGATATCTTAGAGTTTCACAGCTAGAGAGAAGTCAATGCATGGGTTTGATGCTTCAAAGGACAAACTGATTCTCTTATTAGGGATTAAAACTGTTAAAGACTTGAGGTGAAGGCAATTCTCACTTATCATTCCAAAAATACAAGGACCCTTAAGAATATTACTAAATCTACTCTTTCGTGCTGTATAGAGGGAACATCCAAACAAGGATGACAGGACATGTTTGCAACCTGGTTTGTTGAATATTTTAAGTATATTGTCAAGAACTGCTCAGAAAATAAGATTCTTTCAAATTATTACTGTTCATTGACAGTGCACCTGGTCACCCAAAAGGCCCAATGGAAAAGTAGCATGACATTAATATTTTCATGCCAGCTACACACCATCCATTTGGCAGTCTCACAAAATGCATCAGGGAATAATTCAAACTCTCAAGTCTTATTATTTGTAAAAATGCATTTTGTTAAGGCAATAGGTACTATAGCTAGTAATTCTGGGAGAATTACAGTGAAAACATTCTGGAAAAGAGTTTCCATTCTACACATGTGATTCATGAGGAAACGTCAAAATATTGACATTAATAGCAGTTTGGAAGAAGTGGGTTTCAACTCTAATGGATGATCTTGAGGCATTTAAATCTTCAGTGGTTGATGTAACTACAGACCAGCAAAATAGCAAGAGAACGAAATTAGAAATGGAGTTTCAAAATGGATTATTCCCACCTCATAATAACACTTTAATAGCTGTGGAGTTGCTCTTTATACATAAGCAAAAAAAGCTAGTTTCTTGAGATGGAATCTGCTCATGGTGAAGATACTGTGAAGTGACAACAAAGGATTTAGGGTGTTACAGAAACTGAGTAGATCAAGCAGTGGCAGGTGTAAAAGGATTGACTCTAAGAACTTTTATTATGGGTAAAATGCTATAAAAAACATCATATGGCATACAGAACATTTTCACGAAAAGTAGAACAATCTGATGCAGCAATCTTCACTATAGTCTTATGCTAAGAAATTGCCAGTCACCCAACCTTCCAGTACTTACCACTCTTGTCATTCAGTAGTCATTAATGTTGAGGTAAAACTCTCTTGACATAAAAAAGATTATACACCTTTGGTTCAGATAAATGTTAGAAACTTTAGACATATTTTTGAAGTATTACATACCTAAATATGTAATGATATAACATTTTCTATAATATATATTTGGCAGTGTACTTTATGATGAATTTTTTTGCTAGTACTTGTTTCTTCTGCTTCTTTACTCAGCTGCTTTACATCTGGAATCTGAACTGAAGTATAATTTTCAAACAGAGTCAAATAGGCTAAGTCAATGCTTGAATAGCACAGAGTGCTGCATTGAACTGCGATGTTCAGTGAGGCCATTTGATTAGTCAGCTATTTCGAGAGGATAAAGAGTGCTATTTTCTGTGTGTCCGTGCATGCGCTATTTTATTTTTCCTGGATAACAGTGCTCTGCCTTAAATTTTGACAGGAATTTTGTTTCACTTTGCTTTAAAAAAATTATTTCCAAGTTGTACTTACAACACTTAGCTTTTCATTTCAACAGTATTAAGAAGTATTCTGAGCAGATGGCCTACAAAGAAACTAAAAATGATAATTCCTTATGTGCCTTTGTTTCTTGCATACCTTTCCACATACCTGTAATGAAGTATGAAAATAGAAACACAAGCAGCTTCCTGAAATATTGTGTGCTTCATGTTTATCCTCTTCCACATCTCACATGGAAATGCTTTTGTCCCTAAATCACTAAAGGAGGATTTAATTATTTGGATTCATTCTATATCAACAGTATGGTGAACATTACAGGATCAAACTCATCTTATGAATGTAGTATTGAAAGCTCATTGCTAAAGCAAACATGGATAGGGTGATGGATACTGAAAGGTAGGCTCCATACAACTTTGTTTATTCAAAGCTGTATTAGAGGTTAAATAGTAATGAGTTCTGATCTACAAGGAAAGAAAAGGAGAGAAAAGAAAAACAGTTGTGACAGAATTTATCCTCACTGCCTGTGGTACCTTAAAAGCAATCATTTTAAATTCTGAACATTAGTTACGCGTTGATAAAAGTAATTTGTATCTATATATGTGTTTATTCAATGAGTGAAAATATTGTGAAATAGAAAGTGGCAAATCTATTGTTGAGTGTTATGGTATTTCTCTATGGCTCAACCTCCAAACAAGATTTTCTACCTGCATTGCACTTTAGAGTCAAGAAAGGACAACTTGTCTCACAATAAAATATTAACGAACACAATTATTATTGCTGTGGTTTCATTTCTTTATGAAGTATTATTTCACTGATCATTTTTCCAATGCCTTTATGGTGGCATGACCAATTTTCACCCTCCTCATTTTCAATTAGTTGAACAAACTCAAATCCTGCTCAATCTGTCTCTAACTTATTTAAGAAATCTAACTTATTTAAGAAAATATTAAATGGAAGATAAGTTGATATCCCCTAATTTGCTTTCAAATGGGATTATTGTCTTATATTTATTAGAAGTAGAGTGAAACATCTCTGTAAATTTTCCTTATAATGTAAAGTTGAGATTATCTAGTCGGGCCAGTCTTCCCTTCCACAGGGTTTCATAGTCTGAAAATTCTGAAGTGATGATTCCCCACCTCTACCTGATTCTACTATTTTCTTTTTTTTTTTTTTTGGGTCCGGTCATGGGGCCTGAACTCTGGGCCTGGGCGCTGTCCCTCAGCTCTTCAGCTCAAGGCTAGTGCTCTACTACTTGAGCCACAGCGCCACTTCTGCTTTTTTCTTTTTGCTTATGTGGTGCTGAAGAATTGAACCCAGGGCCTCAGGCATTCAAGGCAAGCGCTCTACCACTGAGCCACCTTCCCAGCCCTGATTCTACTATTTTCAAGACAAGGTTACTTGATGTCCATTTCCATCATTAGGCAGCAATAGAAATATGAAAAAGTGTTGAAAATGTCACTATTGTAAATATTTTCTTTGAAAACTAGCCATTACTCAACTTTCTTACAATTTATATACTGAAGCACAAAGAGCTCCTTAAATTTAGTATGCTGTTTTGTCATGTACTGTTTGGAAATCTATAAACTAAGCTTTGTTACTATCAGACAACAAATATCAGTTTATTGTAAACTTATACTACTCATTTCTTTACCAATAACATCTTGAAAAAAACATAGTAAGTCTAAACTGTGAAGGCATAATTTTCCTATTCAGTGGTAGCATGAATGGAATTACTATAGAATGTATGTTTACAGAATTTTCATAAGGACAACAAATTTTAAGACTAATACGATATTCCAGGAGAATATAGGCACTTAAGGTGAAATGTATAGTATACGTAAAAGGACAGAGGAGAAAAATTACCAAGAGTTATGCAAGTACAAGGTAAGAATGAAATAACAAGAGGTAAAAAGGAAAAAGAAACACAGATGAAAAACTCACACTTTTCTAAGAAATTGAAGTGGATTTTGGATAAAGGATGGAGCAAAAGAAAGCATGCGAATGAGTAGAAGAAGCATCAGAGAGATGGTGGATTTATGTATTAGAAGTTTTCGTGTGACATACTCTCTTGCAGATAGTTTTGAACAAAGCAGAAAACAAAGATGGGAGATCACAAATAAGTACAGGAAAAGAAGGGCAAGATGACCTAGAGCTGGAGCTGAAGAAACAAATTGACAATATCTCTCAGAGTTCCTCCTCTAAAAAAAAAACTCAGGCTAGTAGATTACTCTACATACCGTTTGAAGTATATGACCTGTATAGGAAAAAGGAACTTATCTAAGTAAAGTGACAAGAAGTCATTGAGGCCATAAAAGTAACATACAAGAACAGTTGTGGGGTAGGTTGACTAACAAGGTCTTCCTAGGAAGCAGCAGCATGTGAAGATCAATGGGAGAATATGCTTTAAAAGCTACAGAACTGGAGGTGTGGCTCAAGTGGTAGAGCAACCATAAGCAAAAAAACCCCAAACACACACACACACACACACACACACACAGAGTTAGTAGCATGGAATGTATTCAAGAGTTCTGTTGTGTGGCACCCTGGTGCCACAGAATACAGACCTATAGCCAATAGATACTTGATAAAGGAGCCAAAAGTACAGGTTGTAAGAAAGACAGCCTCTTACACAAATGGTGCTGGCAAAATTCACTATGTGCAGAAAAATGAAGCTAGATTCTTACATATTACCCTGTACCAGAATCAATTCCAAATAGATCAAAGACCCCAATCTAAGGCCAGATATGTAAGTTTATCTTTTTGGGGGAGAGTAAAGGGGGAACACAGAAATGGTGGGGCAAAGGGTGAACAAATGTAGTAGTGATACTCTCTAGACACTGTGATGAAAATGAACTATACAGCTTGGGGAGGGGGCTCAGGAGGGAAAAACTGGGAGAATATGAGGGAAGGGGTGACATTGTTAAAAAAATATACTCATTACCTGACGTATATGACTGTAACTGCTTTGTCCATCACCTTTACAATAAAATTAAATAAATAAAAATAAAAGATGCATTATCTCATAAGAAAGTCCTGGTTTAACCTTTCTTAGAGGCCTAATCTTGGAAGAAAACTTTGAAATGATTTCCATACAGCTTTTTTAAATTATAAAACTCTGCTGTACAACTATCTAATCACTGTCCAAAAGTTATTTCCATAGATATTAGTATTACGGTTTTCATATTCTCCCTAGTGTAAATTAGAATATTAATTTGAAAATTTTGTCTTTATTGATGTGTGCTTTTGTGTTCTGTTAGAGAACCTTCATAAGCTGCAAGGTGAACACATTTCACTCTCATATGAAATTGTCAGACGTCTTTTTCCACCTAATCAAAACTTCAATGTTACTTGGTGCAGAATAGAAAATAGGAATTCCTTTATCTTGGTTTGCTATTGGAGCTCTTCACAAACTGCTACTATTAATGAATCTTGATTCTTGTGGAACAAAAAACTGATAAATGACTTTAAGAGATCTTAGTCCTTCAGACAGTGGAAAATATTTATGCAACATTTTTTCAAGTGAACGAACTTTATTCACTGTCTACTAACTGCATGTAGATCAGTTGCAGTTGCAAGTAGAGTTGGCTAGTGGGTTATGAATATTCAAAAGGGAAATTTTACTCACACACACACACACACACACACACACACACATATTTCTCTGAATATCATCTACAGGTAAAATGCTTGTCAGAATGGTGGAAATACCTTCCCTCTTTTGACCACCAAAAAGTCCTGTACTAAAAATTTACTCCTCTACAATTTCTTTATCATAGTTTCATGGTTTCAGAAGAGGTTGACCCATATGTTTTGGTAATAGGCTGAATCTCTTCAGTTCCTTTACTGATCTGCAGAATATGTATTTTAGGGTTAAGGTTTCGGACTTGTGACTACAATCATAGAAAGAATTGGGATCCCTCTGAATTTGGGGATCCCTCTGAATCCTGTTAACTTGGTGGAAATAATCACCACAGAATACTTAATATACTCATTTTTGCCACGTTTAACTGCCAAAATTCAATATTTATAATGTTGCTAGTCCATTAACCAGAGTCATGGAATGTATACCATAAAGCAGGCTCTCTTAGTAATCTAGTTAGGAGACCACAGCAGCAATTTTTCTTGCCATAGTAAGGATATTTAAATTAATGCAACACATAATGTATTATATACAGGATTAAAAAATCATTTCAGTAATACAAATTAGGAGAAATAGATTTAAAGGTTTTGGTGATTCTATGTATTGACTGGAGATAAGGGCACAGGCTTGTCTTTGGGCTAGGCAGTCTTCATATAGAAGCTTCTAGATAGTAGGGCTGGGAAGGTGGCTCAGTGTAGAGCGCTTGCCTTGCATGCCTGAGCCTCTAGGTTCGATTCCTCAGCACCACATAAGCAAAAAGAAAAAAAGCCGGAAGTGGCGCTGTGGCTCAAATGGTAGAGCGCTAGCCTTGAGCTGAAGAGCTGAGGGACAGCGCCCAGGCCCTGAGTTCAGGCCCCACAACTGGATCCCCCCCCCAAAAAAAGAAGCTTCTAGATAGTAATGATAACATTGTCTTTGAAGAACTGCCATTTGGATGGTATAGGATGGAACACCGAGGATACGTTCAAAGCCCCAGTATTTCTCCAAAATAAGTGTCAATTTTATGCAAAATACAGTGAAGCCTGCATTCTATTTATAAAACTGTTTCTGCATGTTGGATTCATTTTAGAGTGTAGTAAAATAATCAGGAAGAATGTGTCTGAAGACCACATATGGCCCTTCTTCCTAACCAGAAATCTAATTTTCAGTTCACATGAAGTGAAGCATCAGGATGATTCTATCTCTGTTAATGAAAAAGGACTTTTCAAAACCTCTCATTCCCAAGTAAACCCTGACCAAGAGGCCCACAGCAGGAGGCATCCCAGCAAGGCAGAGAAGAGAGTAAATGGTTGTGAAACGAAACATCAGCCTTTCGAGGAAACTTAGTTTCCTGCTCTGCATTGCAATTTTCCATTTGCTGCTTTGCCTGGGAGATGCTTCCCCATAAGAAAGGAAGCTCAGATTTGAAAGAGAGAATGCTTAGTATTCCTCAAGTCTATATCTGCTCAGTAGAAACTGCACTGAACTAAATAGTGTAAGTAATCCTTTCTAAATTTTTCTTCTGAATCAATGTGACTTTGGGGAGATTACGTTGCTGCTGCAGGAACTGAGGATCACAGATAAAATGAGAGGTAGCTATACCATGCAATATTTTCTTCAGGAGGGGAAAATGCATTTTAACAAGCCTAGAAAGTCAGTTTAACATCTCTACTTAACTTCTCCCTCTTTACAGACTTTCAGAGTAACACAAATATGTGAAGAGAAGAATGTTTTTTGGTTATAAAGCATTATTTACTTTATTAAGTAAGAGGATGTTCACAAAAACCAATAAATAAATTTTTTAAACCTGCTGTCTACTATGAAATAGATACTTATTTTTAAAGAACAACCCATAAACATATTCCATTTTGAATTAACCTCTATGCTCTAATATTTCCTACTATTTGGCAGAACACAGATCACAAGATTAGCAGGTTTAACTTTAGTAATCTAAGGTCTTCAAAGGTCTGTCTTCAGGAATTCTCAATTCTTTTAATACTAACTACAATTTCAGTTCAGAACAGGGTGCTAGAAGCTCAGGTCCATCTTGTTCATGTTAAGGTGCTCTAAGCACTACCTATGAACCTATGAACCTATAGGTTGTTACATCTCTCATTACTCTCATTACATCTCTAATTACTATTTTCCTAGGATACTATATTCTCCATGCCAAAGGTGAAATGATCTCTTCCCTTGTAGTCCACATACAATACTGAGCTGAGGCTAATCTGTAGTTCTAGTTATCACTTTGTAAAAACAGGTAATCCCCCTTTTACAATATTAGACAATAAAAGTTTAAAATGCATAATAGACCCAGTGCCTCTCAGTCTTTCCCCCCTGATCTTTACCATCTCTAGTCCCAGTTCCCTTAAAGGAGATACCAAGAAATTAGAAATATTTATGCTTATGCCAAACTCTCCTATCCAGCCTATATACTTGCTTTGTTTTAAAGGGACTTTACATTATGCCTCATGTTTTTTAATAAGAATTCTGCTTCCTATCTGCAATTTAGAAATAAGCACTTAAAATATTAAACATATTCTACTCCACCCACCTATACACATTGTTTGTTTTCTTATTTGGCAGTTTTCCTTCCAATTCACAGGCTTTATTTCTCTATCTTATTTAGAACCAGTCCAAAGAACAACTTCCAGAAAAAAAATAATGTTCCAATTTTGGCGGTACTGATTTTTGTGATTTTGGAGGTACTATTGATAACATCCTGTTTATAAGAATTGAGAAGAAGCTTCAATACAGCCAAGGTAATATGAGGGGGTTGGTTCTGCCCTCGCTTGGTCCATGTCCTTTGTACTAAAGATGATGCAGAAACATGTACACTACCGCAAATGTAAATTGATCCTAATTTTCTAGAAATTCATTTATAAAATTAATCAAAATGTTCTTATATTTTTACCTAGCCTACTTCTAAAAATGTATCCTGAGCAAGAAACTAGATGCATACCACCATACATGTCAGCTTTTCACCGTAGCTGTTACTTTTCCTAGTACTTAAAATCACTAGTGGTAGAAATTGGTTTAATTAATTAAAAATCACAGGTAATTTAAAAATTAATTTGGCTGCAAGTTATAAATAGGGCGATCCAGTCATCTGATTCTTAAAATTATCTGAAAGGAAATAAGGGGAAGTTTTGACATTTATTTTCTGGAGTGATCAGGCCACGAATTTCCTCATCCTTACATCCTACCCAAATGCTTCTTTCAGTCCTTGACTTTGTTATTGTTCTCTGAGCTTGTTCTGTATTTCTTCCAAAATGCAGAATCGTTATGGACCATTTTATTTTAATTTCTTGCTAAGTTAAAGCAACAATAACAACAACATTTTCCACCTAAATTTTATATGACAAACTTGTATTATGTCCAGTGATTTAAGAGGATGCCTGAGCAGTATGGTTATGAAACTTATTATTAAACGGAATTTGATGGAAATGTGTACAAAATCAAAATCAAAATCAAACTTATCTCCACATTTTATTTTCACCGCTGAAGAAACAAAATTTTGGTAGTTCATTAGAGGATGAAACAAGCATGTACAGCAAGAAAGCTTACACTCACCATCTAACATCTCTCTTGAAACTAGTAGCAATGGCAGGCAGAGGCTCTACATTTCTGCCTCAATTAATCACCTTCCTAAGAAGGTTCTGCATTTTTTTTTCGGTAGTGGGGCTTGAACTCTGGGCCTGGGCACTGTCCCTCAGCTCTTCAGCTCAAAGCTAGTGCTCTACCATTTGATCCACAGCGCCACTTCCAGTTTTCTGGGTGGTTTATTGAGATAAGAGTCTCATGGGCTTTCCTGCCTGGGCTGGCTCTGAACCACGATGCTCAGATCTCAGCCTCCCGAGTAGCTAGGATTACAGGCATGAGCCACTGGTGCCCGGCTCTTCTGCATTTCTGAGAGGTTGAGATGGATCTTCTGCTCTGTCCATGTGTCCCTTAAGTTGATATTTGCCTTTTGCTCTCACTAAAGTGAGATAATTTTGGTTACAGAAAAACAAGTATTATTGAGAGTAGGTTTTAATGGTGATGATGAGGAAGAGTGTCATCAATCTTGACATCACAATCCTTTGTGCTATAGGCAGGCTGGTCTACTTTAATCGTTACTTCTGTCTCTTAACTGTCCAGAAATAGTCTACGAAGTCCTAAGTATTCTCTCTTGGCCTATATGCAATCTCTGACCAAATATTTTGATGTTTGTGATTAGATTAGAATCAAATCATGAGCGATGGGACACTCCATAATGAGTTCCCTTTTCAGAAATCTGCCTAAGGCTTGTCCCAATGAGAAACACATAAAGTACTCAAAACCAGAAAATAGTTAATGCATATCCCTTGGAGCTCCCTACCCCCATATCACTATCAAACCTAAACCTGAGGAGGCAAGGAGAGAGAGTAGTTTCTAGAACTTGGAAAGGAATTCCAAGGAGGATGTCACATAAAAATCAGTGTCGTCTAGGAGAGTGATGTTCCATGAAGGAGGATAGCAAAGCCAAGGATACTTTATGAAGAAGATACTGAGAGAATAAGTATGTGATTTAACTTTTTCCTTTCTCTAATCTCCAACTCAGCTAGGGGCCCAAGTAACAGACATCCTGATTTACAGAATCAAGTTCCCCTGACAGAGAAAATCATAGATTCTGATTCAAAAGAAGAAATCAGAGGACTACAACAGAGACTATCTTATGGTATTAGAGACTTAATCACTTTTTTCTTTTTTTTTTTTACGTAATTTTAAAAAGAATTTTTGTAGTATTAGAGATAGATGGGCTGAAAATAAACTGTCTCACAAAACCTATCTTATCCTATCTCCATGACCCTGGGTATAGTTTTATATGCGATAGTTCATAATTTTTGTGTTTATCTTCTCAATTACATAACATTCCCTTTGTCTAGGAGATATATCAAAGAACCAGACTTTGAAAGGATCAGCAGAAAAGCCTTCCTTGATATTCTGTAACCCTCACTC